ATGTCTTCTGTAAATTTAATGCACTTCGCTCAGCTACCCCGTGCATAATGTTAACGCACGGGGCCCCCCAAATCTCTTTCAAGGAGCAGGGAACGGTTGCCTACCTACTAGGCGGACCCTCATTCGGTATAGTTTTGTTGTTTTTTATTTCTTCTGTAAATTTAATGCACTTCGCTCAGCTACCCCGTGCATAATGTTAACGCACGGGGCCCTACGTACGGCTCGCTTCTCGCGTGGCGGGAACCCTCTGGCGCCCCGCTGCTTACCTGGCGAAGCGCGTGTGCTTGCCGAAGGTCTCGGCGCCGGTGAGGATCTCGAGCAGCCTGAGGACGTAGACGGACACGGGGGTGGGCAGGGCCCGGCGCGGCGGCGGCGGCGCGGCGGCCTGCTGCAGGCCCTGCTCCTCGGGGAAGTCGACGTCGCCGTCATCGTCCTCCTCGACGGAGTGGTCCGCTGCAGCCCCGGGGCCGGTGGCGGCGTCCTGCTCCAGGCTGGCGTTGGCGGCCCGGGCCAGGGCCGTCGTCACGCACCCCGCCAGCACCAGGAGGACGACGATGGGGAGGGCCTTCATGGTGTCCTGGCGATCGAGTGGCGCTGCTGTCTGCCGAGACGACTGCCTTCTGTCTGCCCGGCGTCCTGTGATTACGGGCTGCTGTGGTCAGCCGGACCCGCCGCCCCTCCCCGGCCCCCTCTGTGTTTCACACCTCCCCTCCCCCGCGCGGGGCCACTCCACTGACCTGGGAGGGGCGGGGGCGCCCCCCGGGGGCTCTGCAGGACCCGCGGGGACTGGGGGCGTGATGCTCATGCTCGCCCCCGCCCGCCGCCCCCTGCCCGCCCCACCGGCCGCAGACCACGCCGTTTTAAGTCGGTCCGACCCAATTCGGCTGAACGAGTTTGAGAGCGCGGCGTGGCGTGGCGGCAAGGTGCGTCGTGGCGGAGGAGGCCATCTTAGCCCTCGTGCGGCTACACGGCCAGCCAAGGGCAAAGGTGTTGTTGACTTGCCGCGCAGTAAATGTAATTATTTCCCGAAGCCCTTTTGGATACTCTCTCACCCACCCCCTCTCCTCCTCTCCACAACACACGCACAGGTCGCTACGTCGTAGGGGCAGGTCGGGGCGGTGTAAGGCAGAACATCGCATCGGCCGACGTGCCCAGGGCGCGTAGCGTTGACTATTTCCTGCCTATTCCGCCAAGGTGCCCCGTGCCCCGGCCGAGGCCCCGGCCCAGGTGGCCCCAGCCGGGGCTAATCACGGGGCTAATCAACATCCAAATGACGAACAGTGAGTGAACGGTGTAGCAGTGCCCCACAAGGTGAGGCGAGGCGAGAAATGTCGGGCTTCGGGTCACATTGCTGGCGCCGGAGTCATGAACTTCTCTGGCATATTACATCGACGGTTAATAATTACTTGATTATTTTTTTTGCTGCTTTGTTTCACATTTTGTGTTGCGTGCCTGATGGAGCAAGCCGGGCCGAAAGGATGGGGAGGGAAGGGGGAATAGTTAATATAGCGCCAAGCGATCGGAAATAAAAAAGAAAGGAAAATTATTCCATTATTTTTTTTTGTAGTCCCGCTGCTTTTTGTTCTGCCTGCACTAACGCTCGTTCACAAACTCCGGCCCGAACCCAAAATATTTGCTTGAATTTCCCGACGCGTTATTTGGGTATGTTTTGTTTTGCGGTGTAAGGTTGGCGACCCCCATCGCACCGCTAACCAGGGCGATCGACCGTTATACAGTCAAACGGCACTACTTACAGTGTTCTCTACGGCTGTGGCTCTCGGGCACGTGTGAGTGACGTCGCCCCCCCCCCCTTTTTCCTCTTGCGACTGCTCGACGTTAAAGAGTCAGGATTAGGTGATATGGAAAGACGTTTCTTCCTTACAAAAAAAAATAAAAATTTATGTATGATGGTATGGACACAGGACTATCACCCGAAACGGATTGCACAGTTTGTAACAAACAACTTTCACCTTTCCTCGCCGACAAACTCACGGCCCACCGGCCTCAGCCGCAATGAGCCAGGCGGAGGTCTCTCGAGTCGACGCGCGGTTTGCGAGTGATTTTTGTTCTCGGCGGAGGGACGGTCGGGAGGGTGGGCACGTTAAAGCCTGGCGAGTACTCTTGAGATTGATTGGTTTGAACGGGACGTGACGGAGCAGGGGAGAGGGGGGGGGGGAGGGCAGCAGAAGACGGCCAACTCAATGACATTCACTCTGAACATCCGCAGCGCGGATAGGTTGGACGTCGTACGTCTACGTTAATTTGTTGTAGTTTGCAATACGGTTGTGGTTTAGTTACACAAAAAACGCATAAAGAAATATCCTCCCACAAAATTGCACTGCTGCCGTGGTAGCGTCCTTCCGGGTTCAAACACTGCCCCGGGCCAGGCCGGGCCCGGCGGGGGCGCGCGGGCGCTTTTTCTTGTGCTCTTCTCGCCCTGCTCGACGTCGTCCTCGCCTCCTTTTTTCGAGCCCCGGTCGGGTCGGCCCGGCAGAGCCTCTGACACTCCATCAGGGACGTCCACGAGGGCTGGCCGGGGCGGCTGGAGGCCTGCTGGCTGGAGGAGCCGCCCGCGCCCCTACCCTCGCCTCTCCAGCCGCACCCCCTCCCCCACTGGACGTGCGGAGGCTGTGCGCCGCGGCGCCAGGCGCCAGTGAGGACTCGGCAGTCGAGCCGGCAGCACGACGGAACACCCCGCCCCGCCTCGCCCGCCACGCCCCGCCACGCCCCTCGTCCACGTGGCCCGCCCGGCCGGGGACGTGCTCCCGCTCGCTCGCGCGGTTCGGCGCGGACCCACCCCATCCTCCCCCACCCCTCCCCCGCCGCTCGGCGGCAGCGTCCAGCATGCTGCTCTTCATGGTCACGACCCTGGTGCTCATGCTGCTCCTGGCCACCACCATGATGGCAGCCGTCACGGCCAACGCGGCGTGCTGCTGCTGCAGCTAGCCGTCAACATGACCCGGGAGGATTAGTCACGTGATATAGTTGTTGCATGGCCCGTCGCCAGGTGGCAGCAGTGGCGGCAGCTGCACAAGTGACCGCTGCAGGGCCTGCTCGGCTGGCAGGCGGACGGCTGCGGTGTGACGTGTGACCACA